ACTTTATTCTGAAGAAGCTATTATTCATCACTGTTGCAGACATGGAGAGGACTTCAAAGGGGCCAGTTGGGAGGGAAGTTTAGTGGGAGAGGAGAAGAGGCGAAGAAAGCGGAAATAGGAACAAATAATAACCATGTACATAGGGACTGTGTCTACTCCTCCTCCTCTCTCTCGGGGCCCTTGTAGACCTCACCATAATAGTAACTGAGCTTTGAAGCCTTTCTTCCACTGACACTTATAACTTCTCTTGAATCTGTTCCCTGTTGTGTGTTTCAGGTTTATCTCCATCACAGAAAGATGTCTTGCTCCAGCCTGTCCTATCCAGAATGCGGGGTGGCCCGTCCCAGTCCAGTTTCTGGCACTTGCAATGAGCCGTGCATCAGGCAGTGCCCTGACTCTGAAGTGGTCATCAGACCATCACCGGTTGTCGTGACCCTCCCAGGACCAATTCTCAGCACTTTCCCGCAGCAGAGTGAAGTGGCAGCCGTAGGAGCACCTGTGGTCGGAGCTGGCTATGGGGGCTCATTCGGTTTGGGGGGACTGTATGGTTCTGGAGGCCGTTATGGAGGATTGTATGGTTTAGGGGGATTTGGTGGTTATGGGGGCCTTTACGGTTATGGGGGATTGGGTGGTTATGGGGGATTGTGTGGTTACGGGGGAGGTTACGGTTATGGGGGATTAGGTGGTTATGGGGGATTGGGTAGATATGGGGGATTGTGTGGTTACGGGGGAGGTTATGGGGGATTGTGTGGTTATGGGGGAGGTTACGGTTATGGGGGATTAGGTGGTTATGGGGGATTATGCGGTTACGGGGGATATGGCCGTAGGTATCGCGGTGGATACTGTGGGCCATGTTAATCCCAACAGGAATATCCATGAAATAAAGTAGAATAGGCCCTACATGTTCTATCCTTTCCACTCATATGTATCGTAAGCATCTCACTTTGAATTATGCTACGGCAGATATGTAATGGAGAACCTGCCTAGTCCTCTGCCTCTATTATGCTGTATTTTATTTCCTACCAACTGGTGTAAAACAAGGTTCTGCTCTGTATTGTTTCTTCCTGTAACTTTGTACTGCAAATTTCATTTACATTAAAAACAATGTTGCATCATCAGATCAGTCTTATGGTTCTCCTTGTTTCTCCCTATTCGGTTAAAAATTCATCTGAAATTCCCCCTTTGGCAGAGGGATAGTATGATGCCTATGGACATTTTGAGTCCAACTTGAAAGATTCAAACTAGGATTCATCAGGGACTGTAGTTTAGCACGGGTCTTTGTGCTGACCCTCTGCAAAGGGGAGAATTTCTCCTTACAGGGATTCAAAATGAACCTAAAATTGGACCTCCACTTGTGGCACCAATTCTAAACAATTATCAAAAGAGGATTAAAAAATAAAATGAGCCTCTCTAAGAGGGTTAGTGACAGATTTGGAAGCCATGATTGGTAAGTGTCCAGTAGGGTTCAAGAGATTGAAGTTAGTGTTAGGCATGAGTAGTCCCAACTATTGGGGGCTTTTTCTGATTTTGTCAATCATGCCCTGTCTGACCTTGACCTTAACATGTCTCCGTTCACCTCTGTGTAAATCAGGTATAATTATAATTTGAAAGCACTTCACAAATATTTTATAGGGCCAAAGAGACGTACTGTATTATTATAGTAGTAATAACTTTTTACTGCAATTAGATGGTCCAATATTCACTTAAAAAATTTATGTTAAGGTCTCTGATGTCATTCCAGTACTCCGTTTGCCATTCTGACCTCCCTCCCCATCAAAGGAAGGATCTTTGAATTTTTTGAATGTAGCTTTGTTTTCTCTTGTTTGAAGGAAGGCACTTTACCCAACCTA